TCTCCAGCCAAAAGACTCTCTTGACTGAAGACTTGGGAGACTATTGTTTGTACCATATTAAGGGCCTCCGTATTTAGACCTCGTATAAATACTCGGGGGACTCAAATGTAATTATGTAATAAATGAAGGAGCAAATATGTAATAAGTGATGAGTCCTTATTCTATAAAAGGACTCCTTACTCTCCTCATTAGAAGAGGTCAAGGTTTAGGCCATGGGAAGAGAGAAAACATCTTAGAGAGGGCAAACACAGAAAATAGACTAGAGAGCACACTGCCTCTAACCTTCTTGTATATTCACCATTCAGAGTGAAACAATATCAACATAAGTGTGGATATAGCCCAAACATTGGGGTGAACCACGATACATCTTGTGTTCTTTACTTTCTTGCAGATTCACGGTTGGATTTATGTTGTTCCAAGACCCCTTTGTGTGTATGAACATATTTTTTTTAGAAAATGAGAAGGAGAGAGGGAGGGAGAGAAAGAGAACATGGGGGAGTGAGAGGTTTTTGTTTTTTTGTTTTTTTTGTTTTTTTTAATTTTAAATATTAGAGATATTTTAACATTACTTGTATGTGAGGCTTCAATAAAAAAAAGTAAAATTTAGAAATGTGAAATTACATTATTGCCCATCATTTTTTTTGTGATAAAAGATTAAGTTGTATTTTCACCATCTTTTAGTTGACAAAGAAAGTTTCATTAATCAATAGAGATAATAGTATATATATAAAATAAAGGTTAATTATGTCCATTAGGCGACATGAAATTAATGAAAAATTGTGAAAATTTAAGATTGGGAGAGATAGAAATTGAAAACTTATGGAAGGAAGATTCTTTCCTCTCCTAATCTCTCTCCCTTTCACTCCCCTCCTATTTGAACAGTTATGGTTTAGCCACGTCAACATCTTATATTGATTTTTTTATAGAGACAGTAATACAAAAAACAATATGTGAGAGGAGGGGAAGGAGGAGGATGAGAATAGGATGGAAGAGAATCATCCTCCAAACTTATGGGGGCTTAAAAGGACAATACTTGGGTACTCACAGGGGAGTACCCAATTTATTGACTTCATGATGTGGCCCAAAAAGAATAGGCCACTTGTCTCATCTAAAATTGCCCCAAACATTGGTTATCTTTGTAACCAAACATCAGTCTTCTTCCTCACCCTCAAATCTTGTTTTCTCTGTGCACAACCCCATAAAAAAGGACTGGAGTGGGATTGCCAGAGGACTAAGTGGGGTTGCCGTCAAAGAGACTTTTGACGTTGGATTCGCTGGCGAACAGAGGGGTTGGTACAATTGAGGTCACCCGAGGAGAGATGAGTGGAGTTGGGGTTGCCGAGGAAGGAAGAGATTGGGGTGAGCTTACTGAGGCTCGCCTGAGAAGAGGGGATTGAAGGAAAATTTTGGGTTGGATTTGGTGTAACCAGAGGTTGGAAGAAGGGGATCGATGGAGCAAAGTTCAACGGAGGTGAGAGGGACATGATGAGATCTGGGGCATAGACTTAAAGGAGAAGTTGGTTGTTTGGTTATAGGTGCAAATGTTACAATTGGTTGTTTGGTAATAGGTTTAAAGAGCTTTTGTAAATTACACGTGGCTATATTTAACCGGATCACATGACAATGTCAGTATATTCGGTCCTCCCTGTTGAGGACCCAAGTATTAGTTCTTATCAGAGAGCTATTTTTCTCTACCACGTGTCATGTTCGTGTTGGTTCTTATTAGTAGATACTATTAGCTGTTAAGGTCACATGGTAATACTATATCATGAATAATTATTGATAAATAGAACTTGGTAGAGTAGAGGAAGAAGATAACAAGATTTCTTCAATTTTTTATTGTTTTCATTGTTTAATGTAAGATTTTAATTTGGATTTTTTTATTCTATTTATTTATAAAAGGATTTTTCATTTTTAAAGTAAATAATAATGAGGGCAAAATTGTCTTAAGAATTTTTTTAAGGTGAAGTCAGCCTTAAAAGGGGTTATGTCAAAAGTGAATTAGCACCTTAAGGGCACGTTTGTTTGACAGGATTAGCAAGGCTTGGACTGGACTAGACTATAGTCATGTGTTTGGTGTGCAACCGGATTAGCTTTAATGGGCTTAGGTGGGACTCGCTCGGATTACACGCCTCCTTACGAGTTCTTAACGAAGAACCCCAATTTTGGGCGGACTCGTAAGCCCGGAGAGAAAACCGCGAGGATCCCCAACGTCCTGCTCGTCCTCATCTCTGCGAGGATCCCCAACGTCCCTCGTCCTGCTTGTCGCTCGTCGTCGACCTTGCCCTGCTTCCTCGTCGTCCTCCTCCTCACCCTCATCTCTGCGTCTTCTCGCCCTCATCTGGTCGGAGACAGTCTGGTAAGCTTCAAATCTTCGATTGATTTCGTCGAATTGAGATTAGAATTTGGGGTTTTCATATTTTTAGTTCAAATTGAGATTAGAATTTGGGGTTTTCGTATTTCAACTTTTCTGGTAAACTTCAAAATCAATTTTTAGGTCAAATTGAGATTAGAATCTGTGTGTGTAATCTCTGTGTGTGTCTGTGTGTGTGTGCGTGTGTGTGTGTACTATGTGTGTGTGTACTCTGGTTTGTCTGTGTGTGTGTGTATACTCGTGTAATCTCTGTTTGTGTATACTATGTGTGTGTGTGTGTGTAATATGTGTGTGTAAGTGTAATATGTGTGTGTATACTCTGTGTGTGTGTGTGTGTGTAATCTCTGTGTGTGTGTGTGTTTGTGTAGTGTGTGTGTGTATTGTGTGTGTGGCCGTGTGTGTGTGTGTGTGTATTGTGTGTGTGTGTGTGTTAGTGTAGTGTGTGTGTGTATTGTGTGTGTGTGTGTTTGTGTAGTGTGTGTGTGTAGTGTGTGTGTGTATTGTGTATTGTGGCCGTGTGTGTGTGTGTGTGTAAGTGTAATATGTGTGTGTGTGTGTGTATTGTGTGTGTGGCCGTGTGTGTGTGTGTGTGTGTATTGTGTGTGTGTGTGTTAGTGTAGTGTGTGTGTGTATTGTGTGTTTGTGTAGTGTGTGTGTATTGTGTATTGTGGCCGTGTGTGTGTGTGTGTAAGTGTAATATGTGTGTGTGTGTGTGTGTGTATGTAATGTGTGTGTGTGTGTGTTTGTGTAGTGTGTGTATGTAATATGTGTGTGTGTGTGTGTTTGTGTAGTGTGTGTGTGTGTATTGTGTGTGTGGCCGTGTGTGTGTGTGTGTGTATTGTGTGTGTGTGTGTGTTAGTGTAGTGTGTGTGTGTGTGTTGTGTGTGTGTGTGTGTGTGTGTGTGTGTGTGTGTGTGTATTGTGTATTGTGGCCGTGTGTGTGTGTGTGTGTAAGTGTAATATGTGTGTGTGTGTGTGTGTTTGTGTGTGTGTGTTTGTGTAGTGTGTGTGTATTGTGTGTGTGGCCGTGTGTGTGTGTGTGTGTGTATTGTGTGTGTGTGTGTGTTAGTGTAGTGTGTGTGTGTGTGTTAGTGTAGTGTGTGTGTGTATTGTGTGTGTGTGTGTGTGTGTGTGTATTGTGTGTGTATTGTGTGTGTGTGTGTGTTTGTGTAGTGTGTGTGTGTATTGTGGCCGTGTGTGTGTGTGTGTGTGTAAGTGTAATATGTGTGTGTGTGTGTGTGTATGTAATATGTGTGTGTGTGTGTTTGTGTAGTGTGTGTGTGTATTGTGTGTGTGTGTGTGTGTGTGTGAGTATAAAAACGGAGTGTGTGTGTGAGGATAAGAGTGTGTTGCACTGTCCCCGTGTGTGTGTGTGTGTGTGTGACTGTGTTTGTGTGTGAGTGTGAGTGTGTAATTTCTGTGTGTGTGTGTGTAATTTCTGTGTGTGTGTGTTTGTGTACTGCCTGTGTGTGTGTATCTAATTTCTGTGTATGTGTGTGTGTGTACTGTGTGTGTGTGTTTGTGTACTGTACTGGAAGTGTGTGTGTGCGCTTTGTAATAAGTGTGTGTGTCTATTTAGTTTATAACCATGATATTACAATGTGAATGTTCAGGGCAATCAAACCGGAACTCAAGAAAGTGTTCGTCCAAAGGCTTTTAAGCGACAACGCAAGCGGATGAGGATTTTGGCTAATGTTAACATGGATGTATTTTATTAATCATACAATCTTATGTTATGACTTATAACTTAGCTTTGCACTAGTATTTTGGCTTATGTTAACTAGCCATTTTGTAAATTATGGAGATCTATTTTGGCTAATGTTAACTAATGTTAACTAGGATTTTCTAAATTATGGAGATCTTCTTATGTACTTGTATTTGTTGAAGTTGCATGTATTGGGCACTATTATTTTTCTTCTGTTGGGTGATAGAGTTTAAACCAAGCTACATTTGCAAATTAAATCCAATTCTATTAACAGGTAATAGAAACAAAACAATTGTCAATTTTTTTTAAGATTCATAATATACATGGCAAAAATATGCTCCAATTAAACCATATCATGAGATTTGTAGCATTACTCTATTACACAATGGCAAAAATTTGTAGTCCTAGTCTAAGCAAACACAAATCTGGTGAACAGTACTGTTTTTCTTATCCTGCTTCTTAGTCCGACATTACACCAAACGCTTCACTAAGTTAGTCCAGCTTAGTCCAGTCTAAGCCAGTCCAGCTTAGTCCCGACAGCTAGTCCAGTCCGAGACAGTCCGGCGCAACAAACGCACCCTAATGGGTGTTGGTGTTATGTTCAAAAATGAGAAGTTTTGTAAAAACACAAAACTTCAAGAGATTTAGTGTAATTAACCTGTATTTTATTAGGGCTTGTTTGAATGTACTTTTAAAATGACTAAAAACGTTTTTAGAGAAAATATTTTTAAGTTCCAAAAGCACTCGAAGTGCTTTCTGCAAGAAGCACCAGTTATGTGCTTCTTCAAAGAAACACTTCAAGTGTTTTTTTTCAGAACTTATTTACATTTTTACTAAGAATTGATTCCAAAAATATTTTCATAAAAAAAGTTTTCATTTTTAAACCAAACTCAGTTCAACCGTTCCCTGCACTTAAAAAAGCCGTGTATAGTCGTATTCGTCACCCCTTAAAAAAAACCAGGGGAGTGAGAGCGACCGAGTTTGATAGAATTGGCGGGAAAAGAAGAGACTCAGAGAGAGACGAAGGAGATGAAAGGGAAAGCTACGGAGGCGTCGGTGAACGATCGATACACGCAGTGGAAGTCGCTGGTGCCGGTGCTCTACGACTGGCTCGTCAATCACAACCTTGTTTGGCCTTCTCTCTCTTGCAGGTCCGTACTCTCCCCCCTAGGGTTTGCTCTTCTTCCAAATTCAATTATTTTCGTATTTTTATCGAATTTATCACATAATTTTGCACAATGTGGGTTGTCCTTACCTGGCTCTGTTGTACTTTTACAAGCACTAATTAGTTTCGTTTTCGATCGATTTTTTGGGTTTGGATTTGAGGAAATGCGTGTGAACTGTGAAGTCAAAGTAAAATCAACTTTGTAGAGAATGTGCGCTGTTCTTAATTTGTGTTTGCAATGGATGTTTGTAGTGATGCTTGTGTTTGTTTCAAGCTTTCGGTGAATAAAAATTGGTGTATTGGTGCTACATTTGTGATTGCAGACTTCTAAGTGAATCAAAATTGATGATTTATCGATTTTGTTTCTTGTAGATGGGGACCGCAGCTGGAGCAAGCCACTTACAAGAGTCGTCAGCGCCTTTTTCTTTCGGAACAGGCATGAAGATCTCTCTTGCAGCATCTGACTCTCCATTTTGTATTTGATACAGAAATGTTGTAATTTTTTGTTTGGATAGCTCATTAATACGATCAGATGCTTAAAACCACGTGCCCTTGGCATTGGCGTGTTAGTTTTAAACATTTCTTATTAGTAGGTGGTCGCCTGGTCGGAAGTTTGTGATGTAATGTGGAATGATTTTGTCAACTGTCAATGCTGTGCATCCCTCTCTAAAAATTAGTGCCTCATATCATATATTTACCAACATATGATTATTCGTAATCGTGGGCAACGCAGTTACTTGCCTACGCATGTAGTGTTGATATTATGTGGATATGCCATCTTGTCTCTTTTATATTGTGTATCATCCTCTTTATTGTTGAAGTGTGTTTTGCTTACGTTTGTTTGTTTCCAGACTGATGGCAGTGTTCCAAATACACTTGTCATTGCAAACTGTGAAGTTGTCAAACCCAGGGTTGCAGCTGCCGAGCACATATCACAGGTTATGTTTCATGTATTTGCCTTCAGCTGATATCCTGTAAATTGACTCATTTATTAGCTAATTATGGTTATCTTTTGCTCGATCTATACAGTTCAATGAAGAAGCACGCTCTCCCTTTGTGAAAAAGTATAAAACTATTATACATCCCGGTGAGGTAAATTACATTAAAGTGTGTCTGCTTACAGTAATGTCTGCTTAATGAGTTCTTGAGGAGAATGATTTGCACCGAAAAGTACTTAACATCTTATTTTTTGACATAATTGCCGAATCATCTTTTTAAACGGAACTTATTAAGATAATTGCTCTATATTGGAAATGGAAAATGGGTTATATTGGAAACAAGGAATTTTTTTTAACTATTTATGAAGACTTGCTGACTGTAGTCAATACGCTAAGAAGATAATTTCTAGGCAATAAATCAGTGAACTATATTAGTCTCCGTTTAAGGGGTTAGCCTTGTGCATTTGATTCATTGATGGCATATCTAAAAACTAACTTGTGTTTTAGATAATAATCTATGCATTATCTTCTAAATGATTTGTAGCCACGAGTATTTTGTCTTGAGGGAATGCTAATGTCTTGAACAAATTGGGTATGTGTTGTGTGAATTACTTATATTGAATTCGGACCAAGCTAATGGACAGTATTACGTTTAAGATGCATTGAAGATATGTAGCATAGATATTGCTAGTTAATCCCAATCGACATACTATTGAAAAGATGGTCTTCTCCAATTTTCATATGTATCCTTACTGAGATGTGTATCAAACTTTTGCATGCTCACTTTGATGATATTTAAAAAGGAACGGAAAACCCTTTGGGGAAAATAATGGAACCAACTATAGTTAATTCAAAACCCATTGATCGGCCATTGCTATTACCACCTTCTCTGTGCCAGAAGATATCCACTTAGATCAACTGCCCACCAAAACCACTGAACCCTAAACCCAAACATTCCCCACCCACCTCCAAAAACAAATTGGTGTAAGCTCATCTCTAAGATATTCTCTTCCATTATACTGCAATAAGAAATAAATCTGGATTGTCAGTAATCTACGATTATGTTTTGCAGGTGAACAGAATCAGGGAACTCCCTCAGAATAGTAAGATAGTGGCGACACACACTGACAGTCCTGATGTAAGCATTCAGTTATATGTTTATTCTTTTGGATGGATATTAACTATTAAGCTTCCAAGGGTTTTTCAGTTAACGTTATTTTTTATTACGTATTTGGAAGTTTATATAGACAAGTGGAGGTGGATAAAATTTTTCTACTTGTAAACAAAACAGGTTCTCATTTGGGATATTGAGGCTCAACCTAATCGCCATGCTGTTCTGGGAGCTTCAGATTCTCGTCCAGATCTGGTATGCCCTGTCTAGAGAAAACTAATCCTCCTGCTTTCAGTTTTACTTAGATCGACTTGATAGGTTTTTTTTACACGGTACATGACTAACTGTTTAGAACTCAAAATCTTCCAACTGTAACCTTTGACCTGCACCAATTAATGGCTCCTTAAAGCTTTGGAGGGTAAAAATAATTGTAAATACCTTCATTCTAATCATGATCACAATATACTGAAAGAAGAATTTATTCATTACAATAGCTTCATCATCTTTCTCTCCTTGCATAGGTGTAAACTAAATTTAATTGCATCGTGTTACAGCTATTGACAGGGCATCAAGATAATGCTGAATTTGCTCTTGCCATGTGCCCATCTGAACCCTTTGTGCTCTCTGGAGGTCGGAACTTTCTATTTTAGTGCTGTATTCTTCATTTATTATACTGATTAGGCAGGAAACAATGTGTAAAGGGAATGTCAAGTAAACTGCATAGAATATTATTCATTTAACTTACCTTACTTTCTGTAAATATAACTTCCTTTGATTTACCTTCTTTCTTTTGATTAAACTTCAATGCACCCACAAACGAATTACATGCTGCATGGGCCATGTTTGTATTTTTCTTGTACCTTCTCATCTTCTGAATGAGGAGATCTTTGCGCAGGGAAGGATAAATCAGTGATTTTGTGGAGTATTCATGATCATATCTCATCTTTAGCATCAGAACCAGGATCTGGAGGTGGCAGTGCTAAACATTCTTCTAAGACTGGTGGGAGTAACGATAAACTCAGAGACAGCCCTTCTGTTGAGCCACGGGGTGTCTATAAAGGGCATGAGGATACTGTTGAGGATGTGCAGTTCTGCCCATCTAGGTATGTGTTGATTAATAATCAAATACATTTCATATCCAGCTTGTTTTGTTGACACTGCCACTCCTTATGTCCACTCATGTACTGGCAGCCATAACAGTTTTTTTTTTTTTTGGATGAGAGTTACTTTATGAAGATAAAGTAGTTCAAGATGAAGGCACATCGGCAATTTTCTGATTATATTATCTGTTTGTTATTTATGTGTTGTAGTTCGCAGGAGTTCTGTAGTGTAGGCGATGATTCTTGCCTCATACTATGGGATACAAGAGCTGGATCTAGTTCAGCTGTCAAGGTTCTTTTTCGTCCCCCTCAAAAGTCTATCAGTCTGCCCTTCTGTTTAGTTATTCCATTATGACATTTATCTTGCGTATCAGGTCCAATCTGCATTGCTCTCTCTCTCTCTCGCTCTCTCTCTGCATGTGTATAGATATAGTTTGAGTGATGATTTTTTATTCAATCATTATTTACATTTTTTAGATTCATATTCATTTACTTATTTGAGCAGGTTGAGAAAGCTCATGATGCTGACCTTCATTGTGTTGATTGGAATCCACATGACGTCAATCTCATACTTACAGGGTATCTGCATCTTACAGGAATTGCCGGATCATAAACTTTGATATCCACAGTGCAATAAAATGAAACTTGCTATCCTGATCAAAATCTTTATATTGCTATGTTGATGTTTTATATTGATGCATCCGTAAAAAAGAATTTTTCACATGGACAGTCTCATGCTCTTTGGTTCCATTTATTTTAATTTTCTCTTACCTCTTAGGTCCGCTGATAATACTATTCGCTTGTTTGACCGCCGATATCTCACTTCTGGAGGAGTTGGATCACCCGTTCATACATTTGAGGGCCACAATGCAGCTGTCCTCTGTATACAGGTGCAGGAAACTCTTCTGGCTTCTTTATTAACTCTATTTCTGCCTTTTGTTTTTCATAATATACTTCAAGAACTACATTTTCATTTTTCTGTGTTTCGTTTTGTTGCTATTCCAGTGGTCTCCTCACAAGGCATCTGTTTTTGGAAGCTCTGCCGAGGATGGCTTACTAAACATCTGGGATCATGAAAAGGTGTGAATATTTAAATGAAATTAATGATATTTATTAAAGGTATAAGTAGCTGTAATTTCTCTGGAAAGTTTACGTGTCCAATTATTCTTTGGTTTCATATTTACTTCGTATTAGTGGGTCTGAACGTTTGATAGATTTTCGTAGTGGTGTCAATATTTAAGTGATTCAAAACAATTAGATGACAGTAGTGCTCTTCATCTTCCTTTTTTGTCTTTAACTCTTATCTTCTCAACAAATGGTAGGCTTTTTTCTTTATTATTTCAGGAGTTAACAATTTCGTTTAGTCTAAACACAATCTAAAAGATCTCTATATATGTTTATATACAAACACATTCAGGGGTTACACTCCTTATGTGACATTGTTACATTTTGTAGCATTTAAGATCTATTTGTTGCATTACACATTATATTGACATTTGAAAAACCAGTTTTGGTCCATTTTGTGATCATGAAATAAAAGAAGATGAAGGACATGAGTTAATAAATAAGGTTTTTACTCTAAAGTGACATTGTCTGCATGAAATTGTGGAGGCATAATAAATGAAATTGTTGCGATTGTTAATGCCCTTCCTAGCATTTCCATCAATTTAGAGAAAAATATTATTGGCTTCCTTTCAGGTTGGCAAGAATGGATCAAAGCCGTCAAATGCTCCTCCAGGATTGTTCTTTCGACATGCTGGGCATAGGTATGTATGATTTACATACATGTTTTAACAAGAGCGGCAGTGATATGCTTTGACTACTTTCAATGCAAGCAAGATAGTGTAGATCCATCTGTTTGATGATGTCAACAGCCAACTCCTTACTATGCATGTACAATCGGTCTTACCTGCTACCTTTAATCTTAGAAAAATAAAAATAACGAAAGATAATTACGTACTAATATCAATATTGGACAAGCATGCAACCTTTTCTTGTTACCTTTATGATACTTTCATTGGCTGTAGGGACAAGGTTGTTGACTTTCATTGGAATGCGTCTGATCCGTGGACGATATCTAGCGTCTCTGATGATTGCGGAAGTACCGGAGGTGGTGGTACCCTCCAGGTAACAAAAACATTTCTAATTCTAGAAAGTTGACCATCACTCTAGTTTGACGCTTGTATTAGTTCTGTACAAGCACATTATCTATACGTTTATGGTCGATGAACGATTCATTTTGATGATGCAGATATGGCGGATGATTGATTTGATTTACAGGCCCGAGGAAGAGGTCCTCGCGGAGCTGGATACGTTCAAATCGCACCTAACAACGTGCCAGGCGTGATGTCTCCTTTGTTTTCAAGAAAATGTGAGACAAAACTAACCCCTCCTTCTGTAGTTTTCAAACCAGTCCGCTAAGACAGCGACTTCTGGTCATCTAATTTAGTCGGTAGTCCAATCCTATGAAACGAAAAGGAAAGCAGAACTTATTGGTTGATTGGTGCAGAAACCTAACCTTTCAAAAGGAGTAGCGTTTTTAAAATCATTAAAATGTTCTCATATAACCAAAAGCACTTCTAACTATGTTTGGTAGAAAAAGTTAATGCTAACGAATCAAAAAAAAAAAAAAACACATGAAGTGAACACTTGCTATGTGCTTATTTCAGGAAGTGCTGCTTTAGAAGGCATTTGCATTTTTATTTTGATTTTTGATGTGCTTTTAATAAAAGAAAAACTAATGAAAAGGGTTTGAAAATTTTGAGTTTTAACGATAAGGACAAAATAAAGGGTAAAATAAATACTACCAGTATTGACTTTTTAGTGTTAAAATATGGTTTTTCGTTAAAGTGAACAGTACCAGAAGTTTTTCGTTAAAGTTATCTTTAATAAAAACCGTAATTTCCAAAGGGGCCCCAAAGCACCAACAAATCTAGTAAAAAAAAAAAAAGGAAGAGTTTTGCATGTACAGTTGTATAAGAATGTAGCATGCATATACACCAACTAGAATTAATTTTGATGTGTTTTAAAGTTACTTATTGGTTGTTATTTCTTGAGAGGATAAGTCATGGTTGCTTGAGATAGGGGGTTTGTACGAAATACAGGAGAAAATAATTTAGTAATATTTTTAACTAAAAACAAATCAGAGTAAATTGTAGCTATGGTCTTTGAACTATGGTTGAATTGTAGTTATGATCATTTAACTAAAAATCCATTAGATTTGATCCTTCAATTTGACAAAAAGTGTAGCATGGATCTTTCCTTGCTAACACCGTTTAAGTTTTTCTTCAATATGATGATGTGGGGCACACATGGGATCCATGATTAACATAATAGTTACGAAAATTTTAAAGACTTAAAAAATTAAAGAAAAGAGCATTCTTTTTAGGGAATTTTAACGAAAAGCATCCGGTACAGTTCACTTTAACGAAAAACCACATTTTTACACTAAAAAGTCAATCCTGGTACTATTCACTTTACCCTTTATTTTGTTCTTATCATTAAAACTCAAAATTTTTAAGCTCTTTTCATTAGTTTTCTTTTCTTTTTATCTCCTTCATCAACAACAATGCGGTCAACACCAAACCTTGTACCTAATTCTCTCCTCCATCCTCCAAACCTTGTACTCGATTCTCTCTTCAAAACCCAAACTCATGGCAAGTATCATACCCACCGTTCCATTTGGGGTGGCTTGGGTGGGGTTGTAATGGTGAGGGATTGGCTGTGGCGTGCGGTTGGGAGAGATAAAAGAGTGAGTGTCGTCGAAGAATGGGGGAGGATGGACGTAAGATGTGAGGTATGGCGGGACAACACCCCACTCTTTGTCCTCTGGAACATTTCTCTTATTTTTTTTTTCTTTCCAATTGTTTGAAGTGTTTTGTTCTTAAAATTGAATAATATTATTTAATTAATTATTCTTGCCACGTAAGCACATTGACAGAAAAATTAACGGAATTAAATATAGAGGGACCAAAGCTACACATTCTGTCAAATTGAAGAACCAAATCTAATAGATTTTTAGTTGAGGGACCATAGCTACAATTTACTCAACATTTAGGGACCATTACTACAATTTACTCAACAAATCATGTATAATTTGGTGAATTCTTGTGTTAGGTGATCTGTATTTCTATATATTGTTAATTCTATTCGATTTAAATCTATATTTCAACAACCAACAATTTATTTCCCAACCATATTAAATTGTTTTAAATTATATGGCTTATACTCTACTTTAGTTCGTGTATTTTTTTTCTAAATTTTAGTTTGTTGATGCCTCCCACACTTGAATTGAAGGTTTAGTGGTGGTACTCTGCATTTGTAAGCGGAAAAGTCTTATGTTCGAGTATGATTGATGGTGAATATGATGCCAAATTATTATGACAAACCACAGTAGTAGAGCACTATAGGCCACATTTCGACCAACATATGTTGATATTCTCCCTTCTAGACCTCTATACTCGTAAACAAGTAAACCTTATAGCCTCGTTTGCTATCTACAATTCGATGAAATGAACAATCTCCTAGTTTCAATGTATATTGAAGGTAAAAACGAATGATTTTTTATTTGGACAACATCTCCAAGACATGAAGAAACAAAAACCTATAAAATGAAGAAACAAAAACCTATAAAATAAAGTAAAGTTTGTTTTACATAAAGAAAAAAAAGTTTGGTATGGACAAGACAATTTACTTTTTTTTATAACGATTTATTCTACCGTATGAAAAATAAGAGTTCAGCAACGTCACATAGTAGATACCTTAACAAATTTGTCATTCACTAAGAGGAATACTAATAGATCGTAATATTGAGTGGCAAAACATTTTTAATTTTGTTGATGAAGAGAAATACTAGTAGATTGTAGTATTGAGTGGCAAAACATTTTTAATTTTGTTGGTCATAAAATAAAGGGGATTTTAACGAAAAGCACCCGGTACTGTTCATTTTAACGAAAAACCACATTTTTACACTAAAAAGTCAATCCTGATACTATTCACTTTACCCTTTATTTTGTCCTTATCGTTCAAACTTTTCAAACCATTTTCATTAATTTCCTTAAAATAAAATGGGTCACCTTTTGACAATTCTACCTCGTCAATGAAGAACTGGAGATTAGGTTATGCCATTTTGTCCCTGCGGAAGCCTCAGTAAGCACCTCTCTCTCTCTATCTCTCTCATCCAAGTTGAAGAATCAGAAGAAGATGGGTAGGAGGATCTCCGCCCCTACTACCACCAACGGGACGACCCTTACCTTCACCGTGCTCCTCCTCATCTCCTCGTCGCACTGCTTCTACCTCCCGGGCGTTGCTCCACGCGATTTCCACACTGTAAGCTCTCTTCAAATCTCATTGTTCTCTGTTTTCCCTTCGAATTCGCCGACCCTTTTTTTTTTATCGCTTTCATTGCTTTCTATTTCTTCATTGGTCGCTGCATTGCCGCTGAATCGTTGTCGGTTTGTCTTCGTTTCCACTGAACCAGTGGTGGATCTAGGGTTTTGGGTTTGATTTGTTTTTGCTTTTTTATTAGATCTACGACATGGGTTTTTGGGTTTTGGGGTTGGGGTTTGAGCTGGCTGTTTAATCTTCCTGTTGCTTTTAGTTGCTTTAGAGTTAAAGATTGATGTGTGGGTAACCAAGTGGTTGCTTTTATTTCTGAAGTTTTGGTTTAATTTGGTTTTAGTATATTTTTCGGCGTAAAATGATTCTGAGGATCTGTGTGTGGCTGTAGGATTACAGCATTTTTGTGTTTCCTGTGGGTGAAAGTATCGAAAATGTTAAAGAGGTCAAAGTTTTAAATCAAGAGTAAAATATGGTTGAGAATTATGATTTGATATCAATATCAGGCAAAATTCAGATAATTCGGAAGCAACAAAGGCTTTCAATGCTTCCAAAGAGAGGAACTAGTTAATGTACTGATAGAACATTACATATTTACTTGTTTCATATTTGTGGATAATTTTTTATTTTTCCCAAGCATAATGGGATTTAAAAGTGTGTTTTTGGAGAGTAGCAGACGAGATTTGTACACTCTGTGCATCAGAATGCTCAAGCTAAATTTTGTTGTCTACTAATCTTTAACAATGTGGGCATGCGTTGGTAATGTTGTTTGGATTTTTGCTAAATTTGATGTTTTCCTGTTGTGTTTGTCGTAATAATGATGCCAGAATATTCATCAAAGTGTGACCCATCCATCTGTTGTTGATTATTAGAAATGTTTTTTTTTTTGGCTTTCAGAGGATCTGATTTTTTCAAGCTCATACAATCATTTTTCATTTCATCAATAATTATGTTTCTGCTCAAATTGTTAGAGAACATTGGGGTCAAGTTCTTTTGTAAACAAATTAAGTGTATACACATAGTAGGAACTCATGTGACAGTGCCCTGTCTTTTCAAAAAAAATGTGACAGTGCCCTGGCTGTTTCTCCGACATACATGAGTTAAGCCATCCCCCGTGTGCCATATTGTATCTGGCTATAAGTTTTTATTAAAAATGTGATTACAGCTTGTAGCCTGAATGTCGCATTATACACTTTGACTTTGGAACTCTTCTATGTTCCCTTTTCTTGTTTGCCATTTTACTACATAGAATATTAATGTTTTTACTGTGGTTGTCTTCTTTCTGACAGGGAGATGAACTTTCTATCAAAGTGAACAAATTGTCATCTACAAAGACGCAACTCCCATATGACTATTACTTCTTAAAATATTGTACTCCCCCACAGATTATAAACAGTGCAGAAAATCTGGGGGAGGTTCTCCGTGGTGATCGCATTGAGAATTCTATATACACTGTGAGTAGTTATAACCTTTTTCATTTTGGCAACCCAATTAGTAGAGAAGTTTGTGAACAATATTGTTAATCTCAATCTCATTTATATAACTTTGGTTTAAAACCTCTATTTGTAAATTCTTTTCCAGTTCAAAATGAGGGAGGAGCAATCCTGTGTAGTAGCTTGTCGACAAAATCTTGACGCTGAATCTGCAAAAAATTTTAAGGAGAAAATTGAAGATAAGTATCGAGTACAAATGTAAGTAAAAATGTCATTCCTGTATTTTCTAGTTTGTAGTTTCAAGTATTCTCTTGTTTTAATTTTCCAAGTGTCGGTCCTTTATGATTTGTCTGCTTTAGTTTTACATTAACTTAATTTCTCTGCCTGGTCATATTCAATTATTATGAAGGCAATGATCATTTTATGTTTCTTATTGGTTTAATTGAGACCTCTGACTTGGACTGCAGGATTTTGGATAACCTTCCAGTTGCTGTTCTCAGACAGAGGAGGGATGGAAGTCCCTCAACAACTTATGAACATGGATTCGGTGTTGGATTCAAAGGAAATTATGCTGGGGTATGCCTTAGAAACTAGTTGCTAATGTTGAAGTAAGACTCATTTATGTTATCTTGTGTTTTATTTGCTATACAGAATAAAGAGGAGAAATATTTTATTAACAACCACTTGAGCTTCCGAGTTATGTATCACAAAGATCCCGAGACTGATTCTGCTCGAATAGTTGGGTTTGAGGTTACTCCAAACAGGTGCTATATCTTTTTTCCTTCTCCCTCTTCCAGTTGACATTCATTCAGAACAGGCTTTGTATGTTTGAATGATAGAAATACTGTAATGTAGTTAAAACTTGAAAGTAAAAGAAAAGATTCTATGTACGTTTCTTGTTTGGTGCATGTTCATTTGACCTCTGCTGATTACATATTTTGTTTTGTGTGGTCATTTACTTTTAATTTTGAAGTTAGAGAAAGAAAGTGCGGTATTCTGTTCTAAATTCCTGGATGGTCTTTCCTTTGCAAAAATCTAGGTCTTTCCATGGAGATGTTTATAAGATCGATTTTTACAATCAGCTGCATATAAAGAAGGGTTTAAGAATTCTTATTGCTGAATATTGTTTCTTTTGTGTTCCTTCATGCTGGATGCCATGTAATGGGTTTCTTGGCCAAGTAATGAATTCTTTACTTATATATCCCCTTTGTTTTAATAAGATTCGGTAGGAAGAAACCAAGAGTTCTTGAAAATGATCACTTTCTATTCGTTAAGATTGTGAATAACTTTATTATGATTTTCTTATTTTCTGATATGCCTCTTTTCAATAGTATCAATCATGAATATAAGGAGTGGAATGGTAATAATACTCAGTTGGTGACATGCAATAAAGACACAAAAAATCTACCACCGGGAAGCAGTGTTCCACAAGAAGTTGACAAAGATAAGGAGATTGTATTTACATATGATGTCTCCTTTAAGGTACATAATTTTGAACCCTTTGGCTACTTTTCTTTTTTCCATTTTACAAACTTATGAACTTTGCTTTTCTTCATTTCTACAAACTTATGAACTTTGCCTTACCACCCCCCACCCCTCCCCTCCCAGGAAAGTGAGATCAAGTGGGCATCTCGGTGGGACACGTACCTTCTCATGAATGACGATCAGATCCACTGGTTTTCAATTATAAATTCATTGATGATAGTCCTCTTTTTATCTGGTATGGTGGCTATGATCATGATGAGAACTCTATACCGAGATATTGCCAACTATAATCAGCTGGACAGCCAAGATGAGGCTCAAGAAGAAACTGGATGGAAACTTGTTAATGGAGATGTTTTTAGGGCACCAATCAATTCCAATTTACTTTGTGTCTACGTAGGGACAGGGGTTCAGATCTTTGCAATGACACTTGTAACCATGATATTTGCATTGCTGGGCTTCTTGTCTCCTTCCAACCGAGGGGGTCTCATGACTGCCATGGTTCTCTTGTGGGTTTTCATGGGCTTATTTGCTGGCTACTCCTCTGCACGATTGTACAAAATGTTCAAGGGTACAGAGTGGAAGAGGAATACCTTAAAGACTGCCTTTATGTTTCCAGGAATTCTTTTTGCCGTCTTCTTTGTGCTGAATGCTCTAATTTGGGGGGAGAAGTCTTCTGGGGCTGTGCCTTTTGGGACAATGATTGCTTTGGTTTGCCTGTGGTTTGGAATATCAGTGCCCTTGGTCTTTGTGGGTAGTTATTTGGGGTTCAAAAAGCCACCTGTTGAAGACCCTGTAAAGACGAACAAAATTCCCCGGCAGGTGCCAGAGCAGGCATGGTATATGAAACCAGTATTCTCTATACTGATTGGAGGCATTCTTCCATTTGGAGCTGTTTTCATCGAGCTGTTCTTTATCTTGACATCAATTTGGCTGAACCAGTTCTACTATATCTTCGGCTTCCTTTTCATCGTGTTTGTTATCCTTCTGATCACCTGTGCGGAGATAACAATCGTGCTATGCTACTTCCAGTTATGCAGTGAAGACTACCACTGGTGGTGGAGATCTTACCTGACCGCTGGCTCATCTGCTCTTTACCTTCTCCTCTACTCTGCCTTCTACTTCTTTACCAAGTTGGAGATTACAAAGTTTGTTTCGGGCATCCTTTACTTCGGGTACATGCTAATTGTTTCATATGCTTTCTTCGTCCTGACCGGAACAATTGGTTTCTACGCATGTTTCTGGTTTGTTCGAAAGATCTACTCCTCTGTGAAGATTGACTGATCTGAAGATGCATGTAGAGGATGAGGGTAAGATAGGAAGAACAGAGCTACACGAGGATAAGAGACTTTCTGAATCGCACCGAAACCTTGTATTTTGTTTATTGTAGATAGAGCTTGAGCGGTATTTTCGTCTACGGTGTCATGAAACTGTACTTGGTAGTTTAAGCTTGTTGCTTCTGTCCATCGTCGCTGCACTTGTACGATTCTGTTATGCTCTACTTGTTTAATTAGTTATTCGTATTGAAGAACTTGAAAGTTGCAGAAACACTCTCTTCATCACTGAAACTTGAAACCATAAGTGATACACTGCAGCTCAACGGTTTACACGCCAATCCTGCTTGTACGAAATCAAGGAAAGAGGCATTCTTGTCGGGCACTCGATCTACCAACCCATGTACATCCCCCTTCTTTCTTCTTTCTTCTTTTTTTTTTGTTTTTTTGAAAACTACATCCCCGTTCTTTAGGGCTCTTTTAATTGTGTTTTAGTAAGGATCTAAATTATGTTAGGCACTAATCGGGCGGCGCGATGTGGTCTAACGCCTAGGTCGATTTAAGTAAATCTATTGTATTTCGTGTAAATAAGTGTCTGTTTATACTTAAAATATATATAATTTCATTATAAACTAGAAAATAGAATGACATATATATTATGAAGTATTGGAACATAATGAAAACATAGGGAGCAAACATATAATGTGTGTTTATTTAAGTGTTTAATAAGTCTCTTACAATTTATTGGAAACAATAAAATGCAAAATGAAAGTTATCTATTTTCTATCTAAGTGAGTTGAAACCTAGGCATGTGTCTAGGCGGATTTGGGTGGGCTAGGCGGCCTTTCTTAATTTTCAAACGCCTAAACATTAATCGGGGCGGTGACTAGCCGCCTAGCGCCTAAGCGGGGCCTAGGCGGGGATTTTTAGAACAGTGATTTTTAGCTCAATATTCCTATAATGAATAAATCATATATACATAGGCCGAGTGCTCAGATTTATAAGACGATTGGGAGAAGGGAGGGTTGATGGGCCTTTTATTAGTTTAAGAAAGGATTAACTTTAAACCATATCGAGTGATAGAGTTGTACAGTCGGTGTTATTTAGCTTTTGTTGAACTTGTCTGTTTCAAGAAAATAGACTGAAAAGTGATATTTTAAAGGTAGTTTTGTCAAATTACTTAAATTTGTTTTTTTTTTTACCCAAATAACTGAGGGGGAAGAGACTTGTCTTGCTGCATATAACTACTAAACATATCAACCAGACAAAAGTACGTAATTAGTAAATTTGAAACATATAGCAGCTTGGAAAATAGAAACAGATACAACGACCAGAAATAGTTACTGAAATAATATCATTACATTCAATTTGGAAATGTATCGTACAAAAATAACGAGTTACATCCTCTTCCAGAACTGTGTTGTGTTGCTACAAGAATAAACGAATCTGTACTGCGACTGCTAGTAATCCACTAAAAGGGACTTGACACAAATTGGATGCAAATGAGTGGAAATTACAACTAATCTCTGAAGCTAAACTATGTATAGATACACGTATGGGACTGAGAAGCCGAAGAAGAAGATATTCATCCCCCAATGATCTCTCCTTCCTCCCAATCTCCGCTGAGAAAGACGTCCTCGTCGAGACCTTGCAAGTCATATTCTTCATCCTTAATGTGCAAACCCAACTCCTTGAGAGGGAATCCTTGTCCAACGTTGAGAAAAGGATCTTTGCTGCCACACCCGCACAGCTTCTCAAGTTCCCTGAGATAGTGCTTAGAATCATGATCAAACATCACAGACTTTTGCACACTCGAAATCCTACGCCGAGCTGATTTTCTGAGGCTATCCCTTCTCTTGGTCCTCTGCTCGGGAGGAGAGTCGGGTACACCTTTTAAGATCTTGTTAGCTTTCGACAATGTATCTGAAAAGCGAAGCTTCAGCAACTCAACTCTCCCTTCTCTTGGTCCTCTGCTCTTCTCAGTGACAGTTGCAACAGAATGTCCAGAATGTTCAACAACGAGGGTGGCAATGACAGAGTCATCGTCTTTGCCACCGGTGTTTGCAATTGAATGAACCCCAAAAAGCCCTTGACTTTGAATAACCGTAGTAGAAGAAGAAGAAGGAGAACAGGTCTCGGTCCTACCGCCATGTATGTGTTCGGGTGAGAAGAAGGACGAAGACGGCAGAGACGACAAACCCTTGGTTTTGGGAGGTGGCAGAGGACGATGAACTGAGAATTTGGCCATGGTTTCTTCCCACTTCGTGTTAAAGAGATTACTGAGATGTTGGGCGGCTGCGCGCACATAATTCCCTCGAGGGTAATAGATCATGGCATTCAAGAACACCCGCCTCACATCAGCGGCAAAGGAATCGGCGCTGGAGTAGTAACCCTTTTCCAAGTCGGACTTGATAGTACCCAGATCAATCGGCTTCCGGATGACGTAGAGATAATCCGGAAAATTCGACGCCACAGGATCAACGCGCTTCGAAAATTGCTTCCCATGTCCGTGCTGCATGAGAAGCTGCAAGATTTCAGCACAATGGGCCTTCAATCCGGGGTCCAAGCCCTGCGTATTTTGCCTCTTCTCGACCCGCCGCCTCTGAAATTCAAAGGGCTCCGACTCCGTCTGCCTGCGCTTTCTCGCAGACCACGCCATAAACCCTAAAATAATCAACCGAAAGAAAACCCTAGAAAGAAAAAATTCACGACCGACTTCGCTCGATGTTCACACCCTCTCGAACGAAAAACCAAAACCCAGATCACAAAACCCAAAAACCCAGAGAAAGAAAAATCAACCGAAATCGAGCAAACCCTAGATTCCAAAATTCACGAGCAGCTTTGCTCGATCGTTACACGTTCTGAATGAAAAACCCAAAACCCAGAAGTCCCTTAATTACTAGCTCAGTCGTCGTTGCGATTGCAAAGCGACAGAGGGACGGAGAGAGAGGCAAGTGAAATCGTTCACACAAAGAGAAAGAACTCAGAGAGAAGTCGATCGCTCCTTGGTTTTTCAGAGAATTTTGGTAGCAACTCAAGGAAAGAACGAGAAATTTCTAATGGGTCTAGGGTTTATACTACTCTTTGTGGCGCCAACGGTCTGATTTCTTTGGTTTTCAAATGACAAAGTCGGCTGCAAGCTTTCACTCGCTCACTCGACTCACTACGCGAAAAACGTCGCTGTCAATGATACTACAACTGTAATTTCCAAATATAAAAACAAAAACAAAAAAGTTGCACCTATAATCTATATATCTAAATTATCTATTACTAAAAGGATAATGTTAAAAATATCATCTATTTTTTATGATTATGTTTTGTTGATAATTGAATTATTATTAACGGACTTATTTTATATTAGTGACACATCATATAGTTTGTAAATATAGTCTAAAAAATTACTTCACCATAAAGACAATCTGATCTTTAATCACAAAATAAGATTATGGAATAGTAATATAATTTTGTCCAAACTAACTTTCTGTTTTATTTATTTATTAAATTTCACACACACGCATGACACCATAACATCTTTAATCACAAAATAAGACTATGCGAGGATTGCTTGATGTACAAGGCAATATGACTTGGTTACAAGATTACAAGTCCTAATGCTAATCGGAATTGATTTCTTTATTTCAATTTGCTTGTGGTTCAATATTTTAATAGATAGAATTTTAGGTTCTATCTTGCTTTTTTGTTTCGAAATTCCTCATCCAATATTATCGCAATATATTCAGTCCCTCCTCTTTCCTAATAATAATAAAAATAAAAAAACTTTTTTTATTAGCACCTCACATAATGTTGAATGCACCCCACATTAAAACTTAATATTAAATGACTTGTGTTCCTTATTGTGGAATGACAATTTTGACCTTAATTAGGTTCTAAATACATCCCAAATCACTTAATGTATTATTTATCTTCTTCAACTATCAAAACTCATTTCCACCTTCCATTGTTGAACAAATCCCTAACTAATGAAACTACAACACGTTGTTTGAGAAAAATTATTTTTGATGAATGGAACCTGAAATTGATGTTTCAGAAGCTTCACATGAGGTAAACCAAAGACGTGCAAGAATCATTTAGAGAATGCATCCCAAAAAAATGACTAGTATTGATGGATATTATATATTGAAATAGAACCAAAGAATCTGGTCTTTTCAAGCCATATCTATATATATAAAGCCAGAAGGCAAAAACAGTGAAACATTCATAAATCCAAAATTAACCCTTTAATTACAGTTATGAGAAAAACAAAAAATATAAAAAAATAGGGATAAAATGGTAAAAACGTGGGTAGGAGAGAACAAAGAGGACACAATGGCACAATATAACACACCTAAAAAAGATGACAAAAGTAGAAGAAGAAAGATTTCCAATCAGAATCATGAAATCTTTGTTAATAGAAAAATAACACACAAGCTTAGACATATGAAAATGGATGCACTTTATAGAAGGTAATCCCCCCTCCTGGAAAGAGTGCATTTAAGATATTTACAAGTCTAGACACCTTACAATTTACTCACAAGTTTGGAGATATGATTCAATCTCATTTTTTGCCCCATGGAAAGCAACAACTTTGCAAAATTTCTATCTGAAAAAGAAAACGAAATGAGATATAAAAACCAGTGTTTGTATGAAAATGTGGGGTGTATAGAGAATGTGAGGTGTATGTAGAAAATGTAAGGTGTATGTTGAGAATGTGGGGTGTATGGTTATTATGAGAAAGTATGTGGGGATATATTTAGATAATTTTTAATTGAAAAAGCAAATATGAGATGTAATGAGTGTGTGGGTTTTTTTTTTTAATGGAAGACAATATCATTAACTTGGGAAACTTACAAAGTGTCTAGGATTAGGAGATCCTAAATAACACTAGGAGGCTCCTCAACCCAAACTACTCTTGTCTCGATGGACAAAGCACCTTTGCCAAACAATGAGCAATACTGTTATTATTCCTAGAAACGGAAATAAACTTAGAAGCAGAACAAATCTGTAATATGAAGGACATCCTCCGCTAACAAATCCATGGCCGAAGCACGATCCACACACGTATTAATGATGGAAATTGCTTGGGAGGAGTCACTGTGAACTAAAACCTTCTGATAGCCAAGCTGATGGGCGAGCTCCACACCATGCTGGATCGCGAGCATTTCTTCTTGTAGGGCCGATGACACCGTAGGGAGGAAACATGCTGCTGCTGCCAGAAAGGAGCCCTGCCCGTCCCGGAGAAACACACCGTGGGATTTATTCAACAATTTATGGGGTATTAATATAATACGCCCATAAAAAAACATGTTTTAATTTATGTTTTTCGCGTAGTGAGTCGAGCCGAGTGGAGTGAGCGAGCGAGCGAGTGAAAGCAAGACCAGCCGACTTTATCATTTGAAAAACAAAGATATCGGACCGTTGGCGCCACAACGAGCATATTTACCCTCCTTTCTTGAGAGCAACCCCTAATTTCTCATTCCTTTCCTTGAGTTACTTACTATAATTCTCAGAAAAATCAACGAGTGCGAGCGAGTTTTCTGACTTCTTTCTCTCTCTGGGTCTGTCTGGAACGCTTTCAGTTGCATCTCTCTGTCTCTTTGCAATCGCGACTCAACGCATCGACGATCGAGTGAGCCAGTGACTTTTAGGGTTCTGGGTTTTCGGTTTTTCGTTCAGCAAGTGGAAAGATCGAGCGAGGCCGCTCCGGAATTTTGGAATCTAGGGTTTGCTCGATTTCGGTTGGCTTTTCTTTCTGGGTTTTGGGTTTTGTGATCTGGGTTTTGGCTTTTCGTTCAAGAGGGTGAACATCGAGCGAAGTCGGTCCTGAATAGGGTTTTCTTTCGGTTGATATTTTAGGGTTTTATGGCTTGGTCTGACAGAAAGCGCGGGCAGATGGAATCGGAATCGGAGCCCTTTGAATTTCAGAGGCGGTGGGCCGAGAAGAGGCAAAAGAGGCAGGGCTTGGACCCCAAATTGAAGGCCTGCTGTGCTGAAATCTTGCAGCTTCTGATGCAGCACGGACATGGGAAGCAATTTGCGAAGCGCGTTGATCCCGTGGTGTCGAAGTTGCCAGATTATCTCTACGTCATCCGGAAGCCGATTGATCTGGGTACTATCAAGTCCGACTTGGAAAAGGGTTACTACTCCAGCGCCGATTCCTTTGCCGCTGATGTGAGGCGGGTGTTCTTGAATGCCATGATCTATTACCCTCGAGGGAATTATGTCCGCGCAGCCGCCCAGCATCTCAGTAATCTATTTAACACAAAGTGGGAAGAAACCATGGCCAAATTCTCAGTTCATCTGCCACCACCCAAGGCCAAGGGTTTGTCGTCTTTGTCGTCCTTCTCACCTGAACACATACATGGCGGTAAGACCGAGACCTGTTCTTCTTCTTCTTCTACTTCTACGGTTATTCAAAGTCGAGGGCTTTTTGGGGTTCATTCAACTGCAAACACCGATGGCAAAGACAATGACTTTGTCATTACCACTCTCATTGTTGAACATTCTGGACATTCTGATGCAACTGTCACTGAGAAGAGCAGAGGACCAAGAGAAGGGAGAGTTGAGTTGCTGAAGCTTCGATTTTCAGATACCTTGTCGAAAGCTAACAAGATCTTAAAAGGTCTACCCGACTCTCCTCCCGAACAGAGGACCAAGAGAAGGGAGGCCCTCAGAAAATCAGCTCGGCGTAGGATTTCGAGTATGCAAAAGTCTGTGATGTTTGATCATGATTCAAAACACTATCTCAGGGAACTTGAGAAGTTGTGCGGGTGTGGCAGTAAAGATCCTTTTCTCAACATTCGACAAGGATTTCCTCTCAAGGACTTGGGTTTGCACATTAAGGATGAAGAATATGACTTGCAAGGTCTGGATGAGGACGTCTTTCTCAACGGAGATTGGGAGGAAGGCGAGATCATTGGGGGACATTGGGAGGAAGGAGAGATACATTAATTGATGAATCTCTTCTTCTTTGGCCTCTCAGCCCCGTACATATATCTGTACGTAGTTTTCCTTGAGATGTTAGTTATAATTTCCACTCATTTCCATTCAATTTGTTTCTAGTCCCCTTTAGTGGATTACACGCAGTCGAAGTACAGATTCGTTTATTCTTGTAGCAGCACAGTTATGGAAGAGGATGTAACTCATTTTTGTACAATGCTTTCCAAAATGAATATATAATGATATTATTTCAGTCACTATTTCTGCTCGTTCTGTTTTCTATATCTGTTTTTGTTTTCCATGCAGCTAAGTGGAATGACTCCATAATTTCAATTCAGTTTGGAACGATTATTAGTTTGCTGTGCATTATGGGCAATTAGAGTGGTCTCATTAGTTTCTTTACTGTCAGTACGTGTGAGCGTTTCCTATTAAATCTTGGGACTATGATGATTTTCGTCTTTTGGATGCACCTTCATGTATGAGTTTGCAGACTTTCCTAGTTGATGCTCTAAATTTCTATGTTTTTTGGGCATCATTTATTGCTTCAATTTCAGGGATTTCTTGGTTGGCTGAACTTTCCCCTTACAGATATAGTCTACATTCCATATTTGTTTTTCCTTTATTCAGTTTCTTTAATGTCAATACAGCTCCTATTACTAATTACAATGTGTAAGCATTTCCTATGAACTCATGGGAATGTGATGATTTTGTATATAACAGATG